AAAAGGCATAGAGGGTACCTTGATCTGGGAGCATCTAGGAAGACTGTGTGAGAGAACTAGCATATGAAAAAATCTGGAGAAGTTTGAGCTTTTGAGCATGTGACAGGGAGGGTCTTTTGGTTACATGTGACAGAAGTCCAGCTCAAGTTAGTGTATGCAGAAATGCAGAAATGGAACATGTAAATTCACTTAATTAGCAGGTCTAAAGGGCACATGTTCAGGAATCTGTCCTATTATTTGCCTGCTGGTCTATTCGATCTGGTTACATTCACTGATTCAACAAATAAGCATGCACTCTGTGCCGGATAGAGCCCCCCTGCCCTTATGGAGCTCAGGGACCAGTTTTCCCCAAGGTGGATAGGATGGTGGCTGGTAGCCCCGGCCCACATTTTAATGGCTTCTCATCCCAAGGAACGTAGAGGCTGAATCTGTGTCCGCATTCATCTATCACTGGTCTTAGAAAGACTGGGCTTGGTCTGGCTTTGGTTATGTTCCTATTCTATGAGTTCCTATTCTATGGTTGGGATCCTCCAATGGGCAACTGCAGAGTGGTATCTGCTCAGACCCGGATGGGGTCATATAGGGACCATTTCCAGATGGAATGGGGGCCTAGCCAGGCCCCAAACTCGAGGTGTCCACCATGTATACTCCAGGCCCAGGGTACAAGTCAAGCAATCATTACCACAGACGGGGGCTCTGTGTGATTGGAGTGATCAGAGTGGAGGGTATATGGAGGGAGGGAACTGGTACAAGTCAGGCTGGGATCGGATTTAGGAGGATTCTGAATACCAGGCCAGGACTTTAGACTTTTTCTGTAAATCACAGAGGAATATAGGGCCTGGCATGATCAACAGTGGGTTTAGGAAGATCACTGCAGCAGAAGGTTCGTACCAGGCATAAGGTTTATGGGATTTGAGAACTGACTAAATTAGAGGATGGATCAAAGGTGGTTGCAAGGCTATGCTCCTGCTTTTAAATATTTTGTTATCTCATAGGCCTTTTGAGATATTCCCCTCTTCTGCTTCTTGCCAGGACTATTTATTATAGTCCGGTCAGGTTTGGATTCTGGGAGCCTCCCACATCTGAAGCTGTCTTATTTTTAAAAATCTCAGTCTTGCTTTTCTCTAGGTATTTTACAATCCCTCTGGCCAAAGTCTGGGATACATTTGTGATTATATAGAGCTTTACCCTCCCCGGCTCACACATGCTATTAAAATGACAGGGCCACTTTTTCTCAATGTTCTTGCCATTCCTATTTCTGGAACCACTTCTTCTTAGATCCAGAGGAGTGCTATCTCCTCCACAGTTTCCTCCACCTTCTGAGGTGGGTGACTGTCACTTCCAGGCGTCTTATCACTGTTCTTGGCGAAATGGCTCTTCAAGCAGATACCTTAGAAGATTTAAATCCCCTATCGCTTCTGTGCTTTGTCTCTCCCTATGTCTGTGAGTGGGAAAGGAAGGAACTTAAGTTTATTGATCATTGAAATTCCCCCATGTCCTGTGAGTGAGGAATAACTTGCAAGGCTTCCTTACATAACAGGTATCTATCCATCTATCTCTCTGTTTGTCTCTCCATTCATCCAACCATTTGTCTGTTGGTCCATCCATTTTTATCTCCGTATTCCTCTGTCTCTCTCTCTCTCCTCTCTCCATCTATACACACACACACACACACACCAGGGAAACTACCCGACATTTTCTCTCATTCAATTTCACTCATTAACATAAACTCATTTAATCCACACAACCTCCCTATAAGGTAGATATTATCTCTAAAATGGGGGCACCCAGTTTCAAGGAGCTTAAATAATCTGTCTAAAACCACAGAGTTAGTCTTTGGAAGTGCATGGAAGCTCAGTGGGCTTGATGTAAAGATTGTGCTCATCAGAGCACAGACAATGTGGCAGCATCATCTATAATAGCAAGAAACTGGAAGCACTGTAAATGAAAATCAATAGGAGACTGGATAAATAATTTAAGGTTTATCCATAAATGGAATACAACGCAGCTTCTCAAAAGAATGACTTAGATCTACATACACAAAGGGTGGGAAAATGTCCATGATCTATTGTTTCATGGAAAAAAAAAAAAGCAAATTATACAACAGTGTGCGTATATGATCCCATATCTGTGAAGATTATCTTTGTATCTTTACATATGCATAGAAGGAGTCTGGAAGAATGCCCAAAAGTGTGCAGTTACCATCAGTTACTTCTGGGAAATGAGATTAGGGGATAGGAAGGAGTTTTTAATTAAAACTTGTTGGGAATTTTTATAAATAT